AGGAAGGAAGGAGATAGAAAAGAGGAAGGAAGGAGAAAGAAAAGAGGAAGGAGGGAGACAGAAAAGAGGAAGGAGACAGAAAAGAGGAAGGAAGGAGAAAGAAAAGAGGAAGGAGGGAGACAAAAGAGGAAGGAAGGAAAAAGAAAAGAGGAAGGAACGAAGGAGATAGAAAAGAGGAAGGAAGGAAAAAGAAAAGAGGAAGGAGGGAGACAGAAAAGAGGAAGGAAGGAGAAAGAAAAGAGGAAGGAGGGAGACAGAAAAGAGGAAGGAAGAGAAAAGAAAGGAAGGAAGGAAGGAGACAGAAGAGAGAAAGGGAGGAACATCATAAATGGTCATAAAGGAAAGTCATAAAACGGGACCAAACTCATTTAGCAAATGTCTCGTTTAGCAGCGGACATTTTGGAGTTCCATTGTGGTCGTAACTTGAGGACCACCCCGTATTTTTTCCCTCAATTCCCGGGCTTCTCGCAACTTGCCAAAGACAACATTCACTCGGGGTTTCCTTTTTTCTTTTTCTCCTCTGGATCCCACCAACACACTCTTTGATCACAATGCTGCCCGGGCCCCCTTAACACCTGTAGTTGTCGCTTTTACGCTTGTTAACTCTCCGCTTTCTTTTCTCGGCTGTGACCGTGGCGAACGGGGCTTCCTCCCGACCACCGTTCCAGGCATCGGCAGCCCGACAGGCTTGGCATGGGCGTTAAACGGGTCGCCCGGCCCTTCCATAAGCAAAATCCCATCCCAGAATTTTAGGGTTTTTCCAGGCCCCCCCCCTCCCTCCCCAGTCAACGTGGACGATCTCCTGACAGTCCTGCTGCATTTACGGTTTTTCTCTGCATGGCTTTTTTTTCTGGTTTGGGAAGTGTGTAGCATCCCAGGAAGTCCTTGGGTTACGACAGTTCACTCAACTGACCGTTCCAAGTTACACTTAAAAAAAGGAACTTGGGACTGTTTTTCACCTCCTGACAAGCAAAATCAATGGGGAAGCTGTATTTGATTAACAACTAGTTGTTGTTAACAACTTAACGCCTGCAGTGATTCACTTAACAACGAATATTGGAATGGAATAGAACAGAATAGAACAGAATAGAAGAAATGTAGAATAGAATAGAGAAATAGAATAGAAAAATAGAATAGAGAAATATAGAATAGAATAGAATAGAATAGAATAGAATAGAATAGAATAGAATAGAATATGGAATAGAATACAGAATAGAATAGAATATAGAATAGAATATAGAATAGAATAGAATAGAATAGCAGAATAGAATAGAATAGAATAGAATAGAATAGAATAGAATAGAATAGAAAATGGAGTAGAATAGAAAATAGAATAGAATAGAAAATGGAATGGAATAGAAAATAGAATAGAATAGAGTAGAATAGAGTAGAATTAAGGAATTTGAATAGACTAGAATAGAATTAAGGAATTAGAATGGAATAGAATCGAATAGAATAGGATAGAATCGAATCGAATCGAATAGAATGGAAATGTGAAGAATAGAATAAAATATAGAATAGAATGGAATAGAATAGAATAGAATAGAATAGAATAGAATAGAATAGAATAGAATAGAATAGAATAGAATAATAGAGATGGTCCTGATCAGTGTTGAATTTTTTTTGGGGGGGGAGGAGGAGGAACCCTGCAATTCTTGGCTTCCAGCCGTGCCGAAGCCGCTTTCCTGAGCCACCTCCTCCTCCCCCCACCCACCGCCCACCCGCCCAGCTTCTCCGCACTTGAGAAATAATGCAAGCTAATCCATCATTATGATTAGGGATGCCAGGTTTAAGTGGTTGCCTGGTCCTTGACAATTAAGTCTTAAGTGTTCCTTGTCTGCTTCAAATTCAAATTAGTGGGGCTGGATCAATATCGAGCAAGATACAAAAAGGCATTTAAGACGGGCGCTGCGGCACCGCCGGACCCGGATTAGGCTCTTGAGGCTGGTCCCCCAGGGTCGGGGTCCTCGGCCTCCTCTGATTAGCTGATTTCTCCAGAAACCTCTTTGCCACAGTGGGGGTGCGGGGAGGAGAAGAAGATGGAGGAGATCAGCCAAGAGAATCAGAACCAGATTCAGAATAGAAGCTGGAAGGGACCTTGGAGGTCTTCCAGTCCAGCCCCCTGCTCAAGCAGGAGAGCCTAGACCAGGGGTAGGCAACCTGGGCTCTTTTATGACTCGTGGACTTCAACTCCCAGGATTCCTGAGCCAGCCATGCTGAGGGGAAAGGGAGAGGTTTCCAAGCTGAGCCAGGCTGGCTGAGGAATTCTGGGAGTTGAAGTCCACCAGTCATCAAGGGAGCCATAGTTCCCCCATGCTGGCTCAGGAATTCTGGGAGTTGAAGTCCACGAGTCATCAAGGGAGCCATAGTTCCCCCATGCTGGCTCAGGAATTCTGGGAGTTGAAGTCCACGAGTCATCAAGGGAGCCATAGTTCCCCCATGCTGGCTCAGGAATTCTGGAAGTCCACGAGTCATAAAAGAGCCAAGGTTGGCTACCCCTGCCCTAGACCATTTCAGACAGGCAGCTGTCCAATCTTTTCTTCAAAACCTCCAGTGATGGAGCATCCACAACCTCTGGTGGCAAGCTGTTCCACTGGTTCATTATTCTCACTGTTCTTTTCTCCTTAGTTCCAGGTTGCTTCTCTCCTTGATTAGTTTCCACCCGTTGCTTCTTGTCCCGCCTTCTTCGGATGCTTTGGAGAAGAGGTGGACCCCCCCTCCTCTGTGAGAGCCCCTCAAATATTGGAAGGCTGCTGTCCTGCCACCCCTGGTCCTTCTCTTCGTTAGACTCAACAGGATCACAGAGTTGGAAGGGACCCTGGAGGTCATCTAGTCCAACCCCTTGCTTAAGCAGGAGACTGTTTTCCATTTCAGACAAAGGGCTGTCCAGTCTCTTCTTAAAAACTTCCAGTGTTGGAGAAGGGAGGGAGGAAAGGAAGGAAGGAAGGAAGGAAGGAAGGAAGGAAGGAAGGAAGGAAGGAAGGAAGGAAGGAAGGACAGACGGAAGGAAAAAAAGAATAACAGAATAAGAGACTCGGAAGGGACCTTGGAGGTCATCTAGTCCAACCCCCTGCTCAGGCAGGAAACCCTATTCCATTTCAGACAAGTTGCTGTCCAGTCTCTTCTTAAAAACTTACAGTGTTGGAGAAGGAAGGAAGGAAGGAAGGAAGGAAGGGAAAAAAAGAATAACAGAATAAGAGACTCAGAAGGGACCTTGGAGGTCCTTTAGTCCAGCCCCCTGCTCGGGCAGGAAACCCTACATACCATTTCAGACAAGTGGCTGTCCAGTCTCTTCTTCAAAACTTCCAGTGATGGAGCACTCACAACTTCTGGAGGCGAGGAGTTCCACCGATCAATTCTTCCTTAACTACTGACTCTCCTAACAGGCTTTCTGGGAAGGGATGGGTCCTGGACCAGACCAGCATCTTTGCCCAGGTGGATGCCTTTGTCCAACGTTGCAAGGACCTCCTGGAGGTAGGTCTGGTGACCATCTCAATGGTCCATGTTAGCTTCCAAGGGTTGACCTTCGGTACGATCTAGGCCTGCTCGCATTGTTGGTGTCCAGTTTTCTGCAGAGCAGGCCGGATTGAGGGATCTCCAGCCGGGTAGACAGCTCTCTGCTCCTGCCTCTTCTCCCATAATTCCCTGGGCAGGGGTGGACCCAAGTGACTCCATGTCCAAGAGAGTCGATCCAAATGAAGGTGGAACCGCTTCCTTCTCCTGATAGGTCTGCGATAGCCAACAGCACTTTGCCCGCTGGGAAGACGGCAAGCAGACTCCACTGCCTTGTTTCTTCGGTCAACAAGGCCCTCAGATGGCCCGGAGCATGCTGGAGATCGAGGAGACCTTCAATAAATATCTCAACAACCTCCGGAACGTGAAAGGAGGGATTCTGGATGTGAAGAACACGACCTGGCATGAAGACTTCAACCGGTGAGAAAGGGTCCACTTGAATGAGAGAAGACGGGTCTTCCTGTGGGGCTGGAGCATGGGAAGGGAGGGAGAGCTCCATGGAGGTATGCAACGGAGGTCCACCAAGAGCTCCAGATGGCTTACAACAGGTTCTTCTCCCTTCTTCTTGTGCCGCCAGCTTCCGCGCAGGAGTCAAAGACCTGGAAGTCATGACCCAGAACTTGATGACTTCGGCCTTCGAGACGGTGAAGGATGTAGAGCACGGGGTGGAGATTCAAGACATCTTCCAACATCTGTCATCCCGAGAGGTAAACCTGTCTCCAAGAGTCTCCCTTGGCTGATCTGGGAAGATGGAGAGCTTCCAAGAATATATGTATCAGTACTAAAGTGACCTCTGGTCACTTTCTTAGCGGGCAGAAGAACGGCTTGGACCCGAGACGATCTTTAAGTCTACTGAATGATGCTTGGAAGGGTTGAAGCAACTTGACAACGGGTAGACTTCAACGAATTCAGAATTGGGGGAGTCGAAGACCACCCATCCTCACGTTGCCGGGCTTGAGCTTCGAATGTCTTAGCACAGCCTTTCCCAACGTGGACTTCAACTCCCAGCATTCCTTGCCTTAGCTGTATTCTGGGATCTCGGAAGGGATCTTTGGTCCAGCTTGTTACCGTTTCTACCACCACGTTCCTCACTTCTCTCTTGTGCTCACGTGCACGTCACCACCGAGGAGATCGGTTGCTTTCATTGGACCAAAGATCCCTTCCGAGATCCCAGAATTCCCTTCCTGGTCAACCTAGCTAAGGCAAGGGATCCTGGGAGTTGAAGGTATCTTTGGTCCAACGAAAGCAGCCGACCTCCTCGGTGGTGACGTGCACGTGAGCACAAGAGAGAAGTGAGGAACGCGGTGGTAGAAACGAGAACAAGCTTCTCAAACTTGAATAGCTTGAAGATGGGTGGACTTCAACTCCCAGAATTCCCCAGTGGGGGAATTCTGGGAGTTGAAGTCCACCCATCTTCAGGTTGCCCAGTCTCCAAAACACTAGGTTCAAGGAAGTCGGGGAGATGCAGGAGGACCTTACAACAGAAGAACGGAATGACAGAGTTGGGAGGGACCTTGTCGGTCTTCCTCCACTCCCTTGACCCAACCGGTGTCTTCTCCTTCCTTCAGGCCATCAAGCGCACCTTCGACAAGAAGACCGTTGACGTTTTCATGCTCTTCAACCGGGAGCTCTCCCTGGTCAACAAGGAACTGAGCAAGAAGATTCCTTTCCTCCCGCCGTACATGTGCCATTACTCTGGCATGGCCCACTGGATGCGTGCGCTCCGCCGCCGTGTGGACAGACCCATGCAGGTAGGCCTTGACGGCTTCTAAGACTGGACTGAAGGCATCTACCATGGGTTCTCGGCGTGGCTTCTCCTGAACTCCGGGCTCAATTGGGTGGAGACCCAAGACGACGGTGAAGGTATTTTACAGGCAGTCCTTGGCTTACGACGACCAAGGGGGACCAGCGTTCCCCTTGCTCAACAAGGGGCACGCCCGATCTTACGACTTTTTTTTGCTACAGTACAGGTAGTTACAACAGTCGCAACTTACAACAGCTCCTAACCCCTAACAGCTCCTAACCCCTAACCCTAGCCTTAACCCTAACCCAAACCCAAACCTAAACCTAAACCTAAACCTAAACCTAAACCTAAACCTAAACCTAAACCTAAACCTAAACCTAAACCTAAACCTAAACCTTACCATAGCTGTAACCTTAACCCTAACCTTAAACCTAACCGTAACCCTAACCCTAACCCTAACTTTAACCCTAACCCTAACCCTAAACCTTAAACCTAACCCTAACCCTAGCCTTAACCGTAATCCTAACCCTAACCCTAACCCTAACTTACAACAGCTCCTAACCCCTAACAGATCCTAACCCCTAACAGCTCCTAACCCCTAACCCTAGCCTTAACCGTAACCCTAACCCTAGCCTTAACCGTAACCCTAACCCTAACCTAAACCTAAACCTTAAACTTAACCCTAACCCTAGCCTTAACCGTAACCCTAACCCTAACCCTAACCCTAGCCTTAGCCTTAGCCTTAACCCTAACCCTAACCCTAACCCTAGCCCTAGCCTTAACCCTAACCCTAACCCTAAACCTTAAACCTTAAACCTAACCCTAACCCTAACCTTAACCCTAGCCTTAACCGTAACCCTAACCGTAACCCTAAACCTAAACCTAAACCTAAACCTAAACCTAAACCTAAACCTAAACCTAAACCTAAACCTAAACCTAGCCTTAACCCTAATCCTAGCTCTAGCCCTAAAGCAGAGGTCCCCAACCTTTCGGACACCAGGGACCGGTTCCGTGGAGAGAGGTTTTTCCGCGGACCGGAGGGTGCCTGGTTTTGTCTGCTGCCTGCATCCCACAGATGGGGCTTCGCTTGCTTGTGCC